TCTCAAAGTGAAACATCGGTTCTCGTCCGATGACCGAAGTTAAGCAATGTCGAGTATGGTCAGTATCTAGATGGGTGACCGCTTGTGAATATTAGGTGCTGTAACGTTGTATGTGAGGATGGTGTAATAAATAACGGCTCGAAATTGGAAATCGATGTGCCGTGTTCCAATTCCACTCGGTTTATTATATTGACTTACGCTGAAATAACCTCTGCTAACGTATGAATGCCTCTATCCCCAGCTATGGATTTATTAGTAGGACTTGCATTAGTAAATCATTATCAGCCAGAATGCCTCACAAACAAAATATTTTCTGGCTTGAAACAACCAACAAAATCATGATAAACCGTAAAAACAGGTCTATTCCTGATATGTCCTACAGAAAGAAAGCGTGTATGTTAAAGTGAGTGAAAAAGAGAAAGAGAGGAGCTATTTTTTGTAAAAATAAAGACAAATTATAGAGTTCGATATTCAGAAATAAAGCTTAAAATTTAAACTATCGTCGGATGAAAAAAATTAAAACTGAAACATTGAATTCAAAGGAAACTCAAACTTTTAAACTTTAAATTGTAATCGCCAGAGGATCTTCAATAAAATTTTCGGTAAAGCTATATTTTTGCTGTGGGGGATGTTTTGTACATCACTAATATATATATATATATATATATATATATATATATATATATATATATATATATATATATATGTATTCGGCCCTTCAAAAAGTGTGGATGGTCTTACACGAAACCTTCACCACTATAATCAAATCTGATGTGCTGTTGTCGGGCTGTCGGTTTCTAGAACTGATCTGCTTGACCTCATACGTCGAATTCAGTGGGAGAGTTTATATATATATATATATATATATATATATATATATATATATATATATATATATATATATATATATATATAATATTCCCCACTGGTGTTTCATGTTCAACGCAATGAGGTGCTGAGTAGAGACTGACTGCTATACAATTTATATTTTAACAGAAATATCTTGTTAACTCAATGCTAGTGCAGTCCATATATTATGGCGGGATTACGGTTTTGGGTGGGGGTATACACACACACACACAGGGTGCATTTGGAGGCGGGTACCTCACTGCAAGCGTTCAAAGAAAGTTTACGATAGATGGCGCTGCTTTGCTATGTAGATTAGGTTACATTTACGTGTAACGTGTGCAGTAGTGAGTTAACTAAAAAGTGTTCCGTTTAACTATGGCAGGATATTGATATCGTGAGGAAGCAGATATGATTTTTACATACGACCGCGCGAATGGTAATTGACACGGGGCTCTACAGCTGTAACAAATTGCGTTTCCAGACCGAATTTCTGAGGAGGCATCCAACTTTTGTTACTGTTCTTGTCGTGTTGGGTCATAAACTATGGTAATAAGTATTTTGGAATTGTATATTAATAAGCGTCTACTTAATAACAAAAGATTTGAGGATATATGTTTATATGTAATTTTGTCATTCCCTTAAATCTTAAATATCTTAAATCTCTTTCAGATGAGGTATTATGATTACTTACTTTATTCGGAGTGTTATCCTCGGCTGTGATTGGAATTTTGAACCGAACTCGAGATTTTTTTAGGTTGATTTTTTCTAGTTCTTCCTCTTCCGGATGTAACAGTTATATACATTTAACTAAACTGCTGTGGCCTGGTATTGAATTCACAACTCTTTGGGTATAATCACTGGATCTAACCAACGTCTACCAACTATCCTCGAGGACATGTTTTTATGAATTTTTGGGACTTATAAACCTAATGTGTCAGCAAACATATTTTACCAGACATATTGCAATTTTTCTGTTATTATTATTCGATTGTTTTTCTAGAGCTTATATTTCAATTTTTGTTGTTATTCATTGCTTTTCTCTAGCACTCCTTATTACTAGTTCCCATATTGTATTCATTTCTATGCTTGGTCAGCTCAGGAGATTTTGTGACATAGCATATGTGCTGATTCCTTAAGTTTTCATATTTTCTTGTAATGCTCTTTGTCTATTATTTCAAACTTATACCACGAGGGGGGATCACACTTTTCTCTCCGTATGTGTTCAGATACGCCGGATTTTTCTGTTTCCTCTTGTGTTACCACTTTACAATCATCTTTCAGTCTTATCTTAAGGAGGTGGTTTGTTTCTCCTTTGTATTTCCTACCACAGCTAAGCGGGATGCGGTACACACTATCCTTAAACATGTTCTCTATGGGAGGCCATAATTAAAAGAGGTGTCTGCAAAGTGTTGAACCAATTTTGAAGGTTTTCCTGATGTTATTTGAGTCGATTTTTGCAGAAAAAAATCATTTTAGTGGTACCATGCCTATATCATCTTGGTATTGTTAATTTATTGTTCGTATATAAGTTTCATAATTTAACGTTTCTCAGTAAATCTCCAGCTGAGTTTCATTAACAAAAATTGAATTGTTAAACATATATTTCAGTGATATTATATTGATAATTTTAATAAGTTGAAAGTTTGGTCGTTTTTTTTCTGTTGTTGTATATCGCAGAATACAAAAATTACACAAAAAAATAAGGACCAAATGCAGACAGGCTAAAGAAGAGTGACTAAACAAAAAAAGTGCAGAAGTACAGAGATAGATTCCCATCAACAAAGGAGATATGCACAAACAAATAAGTCAACTAAAAGTGTAGAAGACATGCTTATTAACAGGTTGCTTAAAATCAAAGGATGGAATACTCATATTAGAGAAGGAAAAATTCTCCAACCCTGGGCCGAGTATATTGGTGAACTCTTCCACGATGAAAGAGAAAAAACAGAAATACATAGAACTACCGATGGACCTGAAATTCTAAAAACCGAAATAGAGGCTGCATTGGCTAAATTGAACAGAAACATGGCGGCGGGGCCAGACGGAATCGTAACGGAAATGCTGAGAGCCTTAAATGAATTTGCCATAGAAATAATCACAGAAATAATAAATTAAATCTACAACAGTGGGGACGTACCGGAGCCACGTCACAAAACTCACCATCCGTATTCTGATGAACAGAGCACGCAGCAGAATCAGGCCAGAGATAGGACAATAACAGTGCGGGTTCGTTAAAGACACCGGAACAAGGAACGCGATATTCATGCTTAGAATGTTATCGGAAAGAGCAATATATATGCAGAAGGACGTGTCTCTATGTTTTATAGACTACGCAAAGGCATTTGACAAAGTACGCCTCAAGGACCTGATAGAACTAATCAGCCTCCCTTATACATTCGGGAAAGATATCAGAATAATCAAGAACATATACTGGCTGCAAACAGCATGCATTCACATTGAGAATGAGCTCAGCAGATATTAAAAAAAGAGGCGTAAGGCAACGATGTGTCTTCTCACCGGACTTATTCAACCTATAGAGCGAGGCAATTCAGAGGGACCTGGAGAATCTACCAGGATTCATCATTGGCGGCCACAACCTTACCAACAAAGGATACGCAGACGACACGCTATTGATAGCAGACACGGAAAAGGAACTACAAAATCTAATACAGAAGGTATCGAGGGAGAGCGAGAAGAAAGGACTAACCGTAAACTACAAGAAGACTGCTTGGTCATCAGTAAAAGGATGAGTCCAAAGGGCGATTTACAGGCCGGGGACACTAAAATCAAACATGCGCGGAAGTTTAAGTATCTGGGAAGTGTTTTGACGGAGGACGGTAGGGGCGACGCTGAGATCCGAAGACGGATTGGGATGATCAAGGGAGCACTCCAGAAACTGGGCAGAGTACTGCGAAACAGGAGGATTTCTATGGTGACAAAGTACTGACATCTGTCCTCCTATACGGCAGCAAATGTTGGACGGTATCCTCAAGGATGAAGAAAAGATTCGTTGTGGTTCTACAGAAGGATACTGAAGATATCATGGACCGAGCATGTGAGCAACGATGAGGTCTTGGAGAGGATGCAAACAAGGAGGAAGCTTATGCTTAACATAAGGAAGAGGCAGATGAAATTTCTGGGACACGTGATGAGAAAAAAGGGCCTGGAGAATCTGATACTCACGGGACGAATAGTGGGAAAGAGAGACAAGGGAAAATAACGATTGACATACCTAGTGGATTTAAGCAAGTGGATGACAGAACGTGATCTCGGGGTGAAAGCAGATGGAAGGAACTTGTTGACAGCTGCAAGGGATAGAGGGAGGTGGAGAACTATGATCGACAACGTCCTGGGAAAACATGGCATATAAAAAGAAAGGTCATGGATTTTAACAATTTTAGGTTGGATAAATAAAGTAATACGTAATCTGTACATAGTAATTAACTACATTTAAGGGGAATGCCCCCCTTGTCACAAACTAGTTAAATTTATTTCAGTGATTATATATATTAATAATTTTAATGTTGAAATTGATAGTTTTTTTTCTATTGCTGTATATCAGGGAATGCATTTTTTTCACAATTTCTGAGAAAACTTTCCATTTATCAATTTACTATTGCGTTTGATCTAAGTAATATTTTCATCGTCGCCATCGTTGGCTTTATCTTCTTTGATGATCGATTCCCTTATGATGGTGGCGTTGATGACTAAATCCATCGTCAACGTGCAAGTTCAGGACGAGAAGCTTCCAATTTCTCCAAAACCTTCTCCTCTCGTCCATTCCCTTCACAAGTATCGGTTGGAGATGAAAGAAAATCAGAGTAGACGAAAATGTATTTGTCGAAGTTGGACATCAGCTTGCCAGGAAGTGAGCTACGCACTAGATTCCATGACCTCCCTCTGCGGCGTATATGGAACGAGAGATGTAGAATTCAATTATGAAATTACAACGGCCAGATCGATCTATATGTCAGTCGTAACCAACTGCTGTCCTAAGTCGACGAGAACCTGTATTATTATTATTATTATTATTATTATTATTATTATTATTATTAATAATAATAATAATAATAATAATAACAAAGATCTTAGCCCTCACTGGCTACGTAGTGCAGGGCTAAAAGCTGAAACCGAAGGTTTATTTCTTGCTGCAGAAGACCAATGCTTGCTAATTAGAAATTACCAAGCACACATGCTGAAAAAATTGTGATGACCCTAAAACCATCTTGTATCAGGTTGCACAGTGTTAGCACCA